AACTTTTTTAAATTAAGTTAAGCAAAATGTAATAAGTATTTTAGCATTTTTTTTACTTAAAATATTTTATATTAATATTATAAATAAAAAAGTATTATATAAAGTTTATTTTTAAAAATTTATTTATTTTTTTTTGTGAGAATTAATTTTAATTCATTTTTTTTACATTTTTTTTTATGAGAATTTCAAGCACATATAATTAAATTATATTACCTTTAAGATTATATCTTTTATTTGATATCAGATAGGTTCTATCAGAAAAATTCACTTTATTAGATTACTTGTTAACTTATAAAAATATTTTAGTTAATCAATAACTTTTTTACCTGTCTGTAATTATTCACTTTGCAATGTTTTTTATTTTCTAGAAGAAGTTATGCTATCAGTAATATTGATAGGTTTATTTATTATTTATTTGTTATAAATTAAAGTCACATATCACAAAAAATGTCTAGCATATCAATATTATTTAAATCAGATCACCTATCATTTGGATCATTTAGATTAACTTAGGTCAATTTAGGTCAAGCAAAAATGTAATCTAAATCTGACAATTTTTTGAATTAGAACTCACATTATAAAAATGAAAGTTTTGACTCAAGAAAAAATTTGAGCAGATCAAGTAACTCAGATTGATTCAATCATTTTGAAATACCACTCTTGATAGTTTTTTGTTTTAAATATAAATGTAAGCTGAAAAAGCTGATTTGCAAGTCAATTAGTTTAGCTTGACTTGTCAATTGATCTTTATGAGTTGAGCTGAGTTGAGCTGAAAAAAAAGTGACTTAGCTTAAGTCAGTAGTAATTCAAGTCAAACTGGCTTATACGAAGCTTTAATATTAACAATTATTAGAATCTTTATATAAATTAACAATCCTAGTCTTATTTTATTTGAACTATCTATTTTATACTAAAATTTATTTTAAAAGTTTAAAAAATAATAATTTAATCATAATTGTTAAAATATTAATATTAAAATCTAAATATAATTCCAGAAAATTATTTATAATTAATTTTGCTATATAAGATTCTAATTTTATAATTAAGAGAAATAGTATTATATTTAATTTATTAATTTATAATAAATAAGTTAACTGCAAAAAAAATGTTGATTATCTTTAAGATTAATAGTAATAATAAATATTATTTTTAAATACTTTAGAATCTCACATTTCTTAAATAACTAAATCCTAAATTATAGTCAAATAATGATAAAATGTAAAGAATATCAAGTTAGTTTAGTTTTTTTAGAAGCTTTAGACAAAAATTTATATTATAAATCCTTTTTTTTGAAATTAGTAAGAGAAACTATACACAAATAATAAAACTAAAACTTCTAGTTTATATTCTATTTAAATAAACATAAGAACATTAGTTTTTTTTAAAATACACAATTTATTATTAATATTATCAATAGTTATCCTAATTCTTTATAGCAGCTAGAATATATTTTCGAAGTAGATGATCAAATGAGTGCTATTTTTAATAATCTTTTTTTATTATAATCATAATTTATTAATGGCTTTTTAATAATAATACAGATTTTCTGAATTTTTTATTGTAGGATATGATAAAAAAGAAATTAGTAAACAATTTTTGAAGGGAGTTACTTTTTGTCTATTTTATTATTTTATTAGAAAGTTTTAGTTATTTTATATAGAATTAGTATTTTTTCTAAAGAATATTTATATTATACAAGTTTAGAATTTAAGTCTTCTTTTATGTATTCGATTAACAAAAAAGTATTTTATTTGTACAAAAGATAAATAAAAAAATTCAATAATAAAAATGTTTCAAGATTTTAAATTACAATTTATACATATTAAAAATAATCCTAATAATATATAAAAAACGTTAATATATTATAACAGTATAGAAGTATTGATATATTTGAAATGAGTTATTATATAGAAAAATCAGAGTTTGAAATGAATTTCAAATTTTGAGTAAATTCAAAAAAAAATTTATGTTATATAATTTTTTTGATTTATTTTTAGATGAGAAGATGATAAAGATTACAAAATTTTATGTATGAAAACTAACTCTGAAATAATATTATACAATTATAATAAAATATTTTCTTATGCCTTAAATTTCTAAAAATTGACTTTAGTTGTTAAATTTAGTAAAACAATTAACATAATAGAAAAATTTTACTTGAAATTTGATCATATTAATATTTTTTTTTACAAATTTCTTTACATTTTATCAAACATAATGTCTTTTATTTCTTATGATTTATTTGCTTTAGAATTAGAAGAATATGCTGAATATGAAAATATAATGGAAAAAATTTGATGAAATTCAACAATTTTTTAATAGTAATTAATATAATTATAGAAAATATAAAAATAATAAAAAATTGGGTTTAAACAGTTTTTATAAAACATATTGAATTTAATAAATTAGATAAACAACAATTAAACTTTATTACCTTTTTCCTTTATAGGATTCACATCAGATTCAAATAATCCAAGATTCTAGCACTTATAAAAATAAATAAGGTAAGTAAATACTAATTTATTAATTTAATTAATTAAAAAAAAAACTTAACCTTCTCCTCTTATTGATCTTACAAAAAGAAAAAAAGTAAGCATTCTAATGATTTGATTAATATATGTATTTAAAATTTATTATTATTATTATTATTATTATTACTCACCCTTCATGATTATAGTTATGAATTATCAAAATTACTGAAAAGATCCTAAAAAAAATTAATTTACGATTCAAAAATACAAATTAAATCAACAATCTATAGAAATCACTGATCATTATTAAATTCTAAATTTAGATTTTGAAAGATTTTTAGATTCAATGTTATTTTAACGTTATTTTATTAAGTTAACTAGCCATAAAAATTATACCATAAATAGATAAGATAATAATGATTTACATGAATAAAAAATTCCAATTTTGATAAAAAATTTTGCAACATGATTTTTATACATACTAACCATATACATTAAATAATTATTACTAGTCAAATCTTTTTAAGATATTATAAGATCAGTTCAAAATAGACTTATAATTTAGGTCATTAGCATCTAATGCAAAATTATAGTTAATGTATAATATATATATATATATTTTTATAAAATAATTTTATTATAATTTTATAATAATTAATAAATAAAATAAATATGTTGACAATACTATTATATATTATATTTAGAGATATTATCAGTTTGATTCAATTCAATTCAGTTTAAAATTACTAGTTTAGTTTTTGAGTTAAACTGACCTCTAGTTTATTATTTGAAATTAAACTACAGTTATATAGTCTAATAGAAAAAACTGATAATTACAAATTGGCAAATATCTTGCCTGGCTTTTATTAAAAAAATTTAAAATTTTAAAATTAAATCCCCAAATATATATAATGAAAATATAAAAATTCTAAAAATTTATCATGTGACCTTAACTTTCTACTATCATTCCTATATGTTCTAGCATAGATCTTACAAGATTAATACATAAATTTACATTGATTGCCTCTCATTCTTTCTTTATTAATCTCATAAAAATGTTTTGCATAATTGACTTTTTTTCATTGATCATAATATTAACCTTCTTCTTAACATTTCTTTTTATTATTACCTATAAATTCTTAATTGGATTAAGATCTAGAGAAGAAGATGGCTAATCAAGAACTTGAGATAATAATCCTAAAATAAAGTGATCATAAACTTGGTTTAATGCTTAGGATCGTTATCCTATTAGAATATCCATTTGTTTCAAAAGATCTGAGATGTTTGTTCAAACAAATTTTCAGTTATAATATTTTGGTAAAGCTCATCATTCATATTTTCTGTAAACATGTGAAATTTGACAATTCCTTTTGTATAAAATGTATCTCACACATGGACTTTAAAAAGGTATTTTATCACAACTCATCTTGGTATTATTTCTCTAACTTTGTAATGAACTAGCATCATATTATGAAATATCTGAAATGTTAACTCGTTAGAAAATATGACATTATTCTAACATTTTTCTTGATGAGCTTTCGCCTAAGTAATATAATGATTTATAGCATCTTGAGTAAGAAAAGGAATTAAATAAGAAATATAAACTTTATACTTAAGGTTTTGAAGGTTTTCTCTAACTATCTAAAATACAATATCAAGGTTAAGATATTTTTTTTAGGTTTTTAATTATTTTATTACTTGACGCATATTTACGCAATTTATAATTCAATTAAAGTAGTAACACTAAAAAGAAGAAAGACATTTTGAATGTTTTGAATAACTTTTTTGCTTAAGTCATTTGTTTCTTTGACCTATCTGTATAATGTTTTTAATGAATATCTAATAACTTTTTAAAGGTCTATGACTTTACGAATACTATCTTTCTATAAAGCTTTAATATATTGACAATGCTCTTTTAGTGAAACTATTATATAATGCTTATGATCGCTAAGTTGCAGATATTTATTAAAATATGATGTAAACAATTTGTTTACATTATAATTTATATTTTTGTTTAAGCATTTCTCATAATCATAAAATTATTAATTATTTTTGATATTTAAAAATCTATAATAATTTTTTTTTTTTATTAAAATATAATAAATTATTTTGATTCTTATTTTATATTTTATATTCAAAATCTATTATTAAATTATTAATTATATAGTATAAATTAGGGCATCCTTAAAATGTATCCCGGGTTCAGGATATTATCCTAGACCGCAACTGTACTTATCACGTGATAAGTACTTTAAAAATATTTATTTATGCATGGGGTCTAGGATAATAACCTGAACCCGGAGTCTAGGTTAAATTTTCCCCTATAAATTATATAATAATCAAATTCGTAAATCAGATTTTAAAAAAGTATGGCACGTGAATTTGAATAATTTGATCTTGTCAGTAACTTTGCCACAATTAAAGTTCTAAGCCAATTTATACACAAATATAATTTCCTTGAAAGTTCGAAACATTTCAATGTTAATAATAAATCACAACGCCGTTTATTTTTAATATTAAAAAGTTGTCATGGTTAAAATATGGAAAAATCTTGAAACATGGTGGCAAGAAAACTATTGCATACAACTTACAGTACGTATAGGAAATTTTTTCCCTGTATTATTCCTAATTATATTAGTAGGATGGAGTTATTATGCTTTCGTTATTAGGTTGTGTATATCCTACTTATTGAATAGTTATCCTGTACAAGGTACTTTGTAACATTAATAGGTGAATTTTTTTCAGAATGAAATTTAAAAATGCTCTCTTATTTTATAGGAGTGGTTTATCTTTTAATATATCACCCACTTTTTTTATTAATGATGTGGAGCTATTTTAAAGCTACTTTTATGTCCCCTGGATATTCAACTGATGTGAGTTATTTTTTTATATATATCCATTTACCATGATACGTTTCCTCAAAGTTTCGCATCTTTATGATATAGACTAGATTAGCTTCGGTAGATTCATCAACAACGACGTATATACCACTCGATCAGCGTCGCTCAAATTCAGGAGAAACAACAAGCAGTAATGCGCCCGAATCAAGTAATGTACCTTCTAATCAAGGCCAACAAGGTGGAACTCAACAACGAAAGAAAGATAATATTTTAGTTGTGATAGATGAAAGTGGTAGTCCCATATCACGTGGTTCCATTATGGTAAAACAAAGTGGGGAAAAACGGTTTTGTCAAAAATGTAATTTTGATAAACCTGATAGAGCTCATCATTGTAGAGTTTGTAAAAAGTATGTATTATTCTATGTATGTATTTAAAAGTTATATCATCATTGACAAGTTTTAAATAATGTTGTATTTTATTTTTAAAGATGTATTTTAAAGATGGACCAGTAAGTAATTATAATTATTAGTTAGCATGTATCAAATTTACAAATGGTTTTAATTTAACTAATTTTCAAATTTAATTTTATTAAAAAGTCATTGTCCATGGTTAAATAATTGTATAGGGCATCGTAATCAAAAACCTTTTTATTTATTTCTTTTATGGGCCACATTATATTCATTTTTCATTTCGACATCTACACTAATTCCAATAATTAAATATGCAGAATCAACAGAAGAGGTAATTTATTTATCTAATGAACAAATTATATCTTTTCTCACGACGACTAATTGAACCTTCTTTTTGTAAATTTTCAGCCAGTAATAGAGATTGATTTAAATTGGACATTTTTAATATTACTTGGAGGAGTATTTTTTTTATGTTTGATAGGGTTCACAATATTTCATACTGGTCTAATTTTATCAAATCAAACTACTTTAGAAAGTTTACAAAAACATAATTATAAAGTGAGAGAAAATGGGGATGTTACAACAAGTAAATATTTGAATTTATTTGATATTGGTAGAAAAAATAATTGGATTCAAGTTATGGGTCCAAAATGGTACTTTTGGTTTATTCCTATTGGGGATCCATTTAATGATGGAAAGTCTTGGCCATTAAATTCTTACAGATATAGTACTTTATGTGATTCAGTAGAAAATTTAAATAATCCTGCTCAAATAGTATAATTTTTTAATAAAGTAAACTGTCTCACGTGACTGAACATTGTGTAACGTGAGGAAAATATCTTATATTGGAAAATAAATTTTTTTTTTTTCTTTTTTATTAGTTAATCCATTTTCGCATACGAATGGGTGAAAATAGGTTGCAATACAAGTTACTTCATAAAATGTCTGAACAGAAACTCGAATTATCCAAACCACAAAGTTCGCTTGATAAAGAAAAAGTTTCACAACTAAATCAGGAAACGGAAGAAATACTTCATGATCTTGATAAACCTGACAAGAAAGGTAAAAGAATTAAAAGGTGGTGATATTGTTAAACTTAAACCAAAAGATTTGTAAGATTAAAAGGTTTAAATTTGGTCGTAAATGCTTTCAAAATTTTCATCAAATGAGAGTTTTTTTTTTTAATAGCAATTCTTTTTATCAGTTAATAAATTGACTGAACAAAAATTAGAACATTTAAAACGATTCATCGATGAGATAAAGGCAGAAACACAATTAGTTTGTGATGAAAAATTTCAAAAATCTCGAACAAAAGAGAATAAAAGAAAAGAAGAACCTCAGCCCAGGTGATTAATTTCAATGTGAACATTTTCATGGCCCAATTTTCTTATTTTTTAATATTATTTCCTCTAGGTCTGTACCAACTTTGTTAGTTGATTTGAGAAAACCTTTTAATAAATGGGATGTCATAAATAATCCTCGGAGACAAGAATTTAATTCAGAAATCAATTCTACTTATAAATCAATGTGGAGTGTCATCGATAAAATCAAATGAAGATGATAATAGATTTATGTTGTTAATCCTACCAAAATTAGGTTTATGCATAAAAAAAAAAAAAATAAATCAATTAAAAATAATAATAATAATAATTATAATAATAAATAAACGATAACGGCCAATGTTTTTTGTTATTATTGTATAAAACAAAAATGAAATAACCTTATAACCCTAATAAAGGAAATTTTTATAGACAGGAGAAATCGAAGATCAAATCTTTGTGAAAATTTATTATTTGGGAAAATAAGCATAAATTAAATTTGTTTACCATAAAAAACCGGTTTATTAATTTAAGAAATTTAAGATAAATTAAGAAAATCTTTAACAAATTAAAACTTAGAAACCATTTAATTTAATTGCTGAATTCAAAAAAAAAAAAAAAGTTTCACTCTTTTGCAAAAAGTCTATTAAAAAAGATTTCAATAAGATGACTAGTAGTAAATCTCAACGAAAACTTAGCTTCAATGTTGGTGAAAACTATGAAGTTTTAGATGTGGTAGGAGAAGGAGCATATGGGGTTGTTTGGTAAGTAAATTAAAAAGTTAACCGATAAATTGAACGAACTTATTAACTAATATACTTATGCGTTACAGCTCAGCTCTTCATAAACCAACTGGTCAGAAAGTGGCCATTAAAAAGATAACTCCCTTTGATCATTCTATGTTCTGTTTACGAACCCTCAGAGAAATAAAGCTTTTGCGATATTTTAACCATGAAAATGTTGGTATCGAAAAAAATAAAATAAAAATAAGCAAGGTACATATTAGGGTTAATTTGTTTGAATTTTTTAATCATATAGGTTATCGCCATTTTAGACATTGTTAAGCCTGAAAACTTGGAAAAATTCACAGAAGTGTAAGTAATTGTTTTTATGTTTGTCAATTTAGTTCATTTACTTAAAATTCTTAAATTATTTATAGTTATCTCATTCAAGAACTCATGGAAACTGATATGCATCGTGTAATTCGCACTCAAGATTTGAGTGATGATCATTGTCAATACTTTATTTATCAGACTTTACGTGCTTTGAAAGCGATGCATTCCGCTAATGTTCTTCATCGTGATTTGAAACCAAGTAATTTGTTGCTTAATGCTAATTGCGATTTGAAGGTATAATTTCTTCTTTTATGATCGATCGATTCTGTTTGCATAATTTGCTTCATGTATTCATCTTGAAAACAACTTAGGTATGCGACTTTGGTCTCGCTCGAAGTGCGAACTCCAGTGATGAACATAGCGGATTTATGACTGAATATGTTGCAACTCGATGGTATCGTGCTCCAGAGATTATGTTAACGTTTAAAGAGTACACCAAGGCCATCGACGTGTGGTCTGTTGGTTGTATCTTGGCAGAAATGTTGAGCGGAAAACCATTGTTCCCTGGAAGAGATTGTATGCTTTTAACTTACTTATAGTCTTTTTACACTTGTCCTTTACTCGTATCATTTATTTCAATTTTTTTTAATTTTTTAATTTTTTGAATGAATAGATCATCATCAACTTACACTTATTCTTGATGTACTTGGCACACCAACAATGGAAGATTTCTATGGCATTAAAAGTAGAAGGGTACTACATTCTTATTCTTATTCTTATTAATGATTTTAAATAATATATATATATATATTTTTTATTAACTCACTTTCATTTCTAGGCCAGAGATTATATTCGCTCTCTTCCTTTCAAGAAACGTATTCCTTTCACTCATATGTTCCCTCATGCAAATCCATTGGCTCTTGACATGTTGGAAAAATTGTTATCCTTTAATCCTACAAAAAGAATTACTGTTGAAGAAGCTTTGAAACATCCGTATTTGGAACCAGTAAGTGCAGTATTAATGTATTATCGTAAGTTATAAAAATTTTATGAATTCTTTTTCTTATTACAAAATTTTCAAGTATCATGATCCTGAAGATGAACCATCTGCCGATCCAATTCCCGAATCATTTTTTGATTTTGATAAACATAAAGACCAATTGTCGAAAGAACAATTGAAACGTATGTATCAATTATTTATTTTTTAAATAATCTCATTATATTAATTTTAATTTTTTTAATTTTTTCTTTTTGTCACTCTTTTTAGAGCTTATTTATGATGAAATCATGAGACCAATATAATACTAATATGTAAAAAAAAATCTAAATGTTGTATGTATTCTGGATATAAAGTTATATATTTATATTGATATTTTTACTTATTTAATTAAAAGAAATTAGTTTTCAATGGTATAATGGTATAGAATAAAATATATATACATGTGCACACGAACACACATATATAATAATGTTTTTGTTTTTATTTTATTTTACTTTTTATTTTATTTTTTTTTGTCTAACATTACTCGATTCTTGTGTAATGAATATTACTCGGACATTTCTATTTCGTCATCATCGCCTAAACCGAATCTTTGGAGACAAATGTTATGGCCATATTCATTAAACTCAGCACGAGAAACTAACTTCTCGTTAAAATCAGCTGAATTTGCAAATTTAACACCACCTTGCCATGCATATGTGACAGGACTATATTATGAAGGAAGAAAAAGGTTTAAGGATGTTCAAAATAATAATGATAATAAGAGTAATACTTACTTTTCTGACATTCCAACCCTAATTTCAAATTCCGTTGGTGCAAGATAACGTAAATCCTTTTCACTAATTGAAAAGGAAAAAAAAGTTTAGTACTAATGAAAAATTCCAAGTAGCAAAAAAAAAAAAAAAAAAAAAAAATTACATTCTATTTTTATATCCAGAAAATAAAGAATTTCCACCGACCAGGATGATGTTTCCATAAAGTAATCCATGCAAATCTACATCATTTACAGATAAAGAAGGAAACATTTCTATACTCAAATTGATGAATAATAATAACCCAAAACGCCAAAGTCAGTTACCACCAAAAAATTCTTTTATTAAAAAGAAATAAAAGTAAATAAAATAAGTTTTTTTTTTTTTTTTTTTCTTTTTAGGACGCGGTATGCCCAATAAAATAAATGAATAAATTTAAAATGAAAACCATCCATCCAAAAAAAAAAAAAAAAAAGCAATGTAAAAAAATGATACCAGGATGAGTTGCATTGATAGATTCCACTATTACTTCAGGAATCCCTGCTTGGTTCATTCCTAAAATTTATCACGCATCAAATTAAAATTATGTGTATACGAACGCATCAGAAACGTGCTTATGATACATACCAACATCCATAGGATTAAATAATATTTCTGGCACAGATAATCTTTCGTTGTTCATGTACAATACTTGTTCATCGGATTGATCATATACTCCTCCACGTTTCTTTTCCTATAGTTACAAAAATGGAAAATAAAGGTGCAATGTAACTCTATAAAAAAGAATTAATAGAATAAATAAAGAATATGATTGGTACTCTTATGTATCCTTTTGAGTTTCTTGAAAAGTCTGGGAGAATGTATTCTTGAAGAATTGGATTATCTCGTGGATTTTTTCTAAATAAAATTTTATGCTAGTTGCAAAAGATTCGAAACGAGAGAATAAATCAAATTAACTTTATATTAACATACCGACAAATTTCTAGATCTGATAAAAAATCTTGAGAAACGAAACAACACGTTTCTTTCACTTCATTCATAATATAAGTTTGTTCCATCATATCCCAATACCTAATCATTGAACAAAACAATTAGTATCTAAAAAGATTTTTAAAATTATATTGTAATAAATTACCTAAATGATACAATCTCCTTCAGATGATTTGTTAACAATTTTCCTCCAATGTTAATTCTTTTAATAATTAGAAAATTAATTCCAATTAAAAACTAAAAATATTTTATGCGAAAAAATATATATATATATTATAAAAAGATCACCTTCTGATGGCCGGTAATATCGGTCTTCCCATAACAAAAGGTACAACATGAGTAAAAGAATAACCAGAATCAACAACCAATGCACAATCTGGCACTTCATTAGGTTTATAAAATCGATCTTTATAAAGTGAAGTTGTATCATTTTGAATACATAACCATGGAGCTATTTACAAAGTAAAGTCCTATAAGTAAATGATGTAAACTTTTTTTTTTAAAAAAAAAAAAAAAAAAAAGAGTATACCAATTGTTCTATAATAAGCTTCGAATTCGTATGCTTCAAATATAACTTCATCGTAATTTTGTTGAATGTTTGGTAAATTAAAACATGGTTCTGTAATTAATAGAGTAGTATTTTTCGGATCGCACTAAATAAATCAATGATGAATTCATAAAATGAATTTTTTATATTATCAATGCACAAAACTTATTTTAAACATACATTAAGAACATCTTTAGAAAATATTCTATCCCAAACTTCTTTTTCATTTTGCCAATTTATAAGAAATCCCTATATAAATATTTCACGATAAATTAAATTCACGTTAAGCTTTGAAAAGTGTTTAAAAAAGAATGAAATTGAACCTTTTCAAATGGTAATTTATAATATAATCCAGTAAAATCTGTACACGTGCTTAATTGATCCCCTATATATGACTTTTTGTCGCCTTTTCCACGCGTTACTGTGCAATTAGGTATAGTTCTATAAAACATAAGTAAAATAATAATAATAATAATAAATTATTGAAATTTTAAACTTTAGAATATTTTTTTTTTTTACCTTGCTTGAGTCCAGTCAGCGTAACCTGCCTTAATTGAGTACGCGCCATTATCAAGTACCAATACCTTTCTTCCCGACATTTTCAAATTCCGCTACAATAATAAAAGAATTGTTGTTTATGTATTTGTGAAACAAATCAAAAACTTTTATCGAGATCGTCCATTCAATAATAGATATGCAATTTGATTTATTATAAAAGATGAACTCTACATAGCCGAAAAAAAAAAAAAAAAAAAAATAATTATACAAAAAAATATTAACTATACAAAAAATATTTAAATATAACTTATAAATAATAATTTAATCTTCAGCATCACTTTGGTATGGAGTTGGTTGCCATATTGTAACTTCACTAGGAGCGAATGGTCCTAACATCTCATCAGGCCAAAGATAATTTGTTTCTTTGCTATCATCCACATCATCGAACAAATCATCATCATCATAAGATATTTTGTTCCCAACGTTTTTAAATTTTTGTTCAAATGTTTGAACTTCAGTTGATGTAAGATTCCCCCACTCAATTGATGTGAAAGGATCTTGTTCGTCGACTAGAGGTATAATAGGAGTATCCCATTCTGACCCATCGCCACCATTGGTAAAAAGAAAACTATCATCACTATAATATTCATCTATGGTATTTAAATGAGGTTTCGTGACGGAGAAGCCATATACTTCGTCTTGAAGCCACTGTTCCCAATTTGATAAAAATGACTCATCTAACATAATATCATCCGCTATATATGCAGAATTTACATGATTTAAAGGTTTCGTATGATGTGGAGGGAATATGTCGGGTGAATTCCTGTTATCATTTTGATAAAGTAATCCATTATGATGATCATCGTGTGTCAAATAATTTCTTTCATTATAAAATTTAATCAGTGCTCGAAGGCTTTGCTCTTGAGGCTATTGAATGTAATAATAATAAAATGACGATTAATTAAGAAGATTTAAACAAGATTTTACAAATAACATATCACTTACCAGAGCATCTTCAATTTCAGCATCCGCATCGGATGATGCGATCCATTCATCTCGTAAATCTGGCCGGCAATGCAAATATATGGAGGTGATTATTTTCATATTACCTATTATTTCATAAAATTCCATTATTTTAGCATACAAATTAATTAATAAATCGGATGTAATTAAACGAGCATACTTTGACGCCATTTTCTACCGATAAATGGAATTTGACTCTTTAGAACTTTCAAAGCATATAGTTCTAATAAAGGATGCGATACTTTAAGGATCCTTTTTAATATAGCCTATATTTTTTAAGGAAGTCATTATTATTAAAATAAAATTAAGTAAATTATTGAAGTGGAATACTCACGGAAGACTTGTACTGAACTAACAATAACACTCTGTGTGTCTTCTTTTTTGTCAGCTTTTGCAAAATACGTAAAAAATTTATTGCGGAGAAAAAATTTCGCCAACAATAATCAGAATCCACATTATTATCGATTAAATTTAATTCATCAACATGTTCTATCTGCAGTTGTTCTTTTGATCTACTATCATCCTCAAGATTATCACTACAAGTTTTTCCTGATCCATGTTTATCATTAAGATTTTTGCAATATTGGAAGAAACTTTATAATTTTTAAATGAGTAATTGTTACTTAAATGTTGTTAAGTACTTTAATTTATAAACTACTGATGTGATTGTATACTTACTTTAAATCTTCGACTTCATTCCTAGCTTTTATAGTCAAGCTTACATCCTGTAAACCAAACATTTTCAAAATTAAAAGTAAACAATTAGATTCAACCAATAGTTGCGAAACATATTCAAATTTTAAGATATCTAAAATATAGTTAGGTTTATTAAGGACAGAATTTTTTTGGGCTTATTATAATCCAATCATTCTTTTTTTTTCTTTTTTTTTTTAAAAAAAAAAAAGGATACGAGACAATTTCAAATATTTTAACATTAACAATAAAATTGCTGAAACTGCTTTAGATGTAATTTCTCGATGTCTCATAATATCAATTTCTTCAACACTATTTCCGTTTGAAGATGAAGAATTAATATTGTTATCAGATGATAAACCTACAAATATTAAAATGTAAAGTCATAGAATTAGTCTGTGAAATAAGGATATATCTTTTTTACTTTGACATTGAATACACAACCAACCATTGTTTGTGGTAACATTCTCCTTTGTGATGCTGTCATTACTATCATTTACTTTGACATTACTTGAATTGGGCGAAACAGTTGCAAGCAACAATTTAAGTAACACGATAACAATGTATTGCAGATGTGGTAGGATTGACCTCTATTATAAAGTTAAATTCATTAAGGAGAACATTGTTATAAAAATAAATGATTGGTGCCTGTTTAGAAATTTAAAAGGATACATAAAGAAGTTCAATCCTGTCCAACTTTTCTCTATCTCTTTTTGTCACCTGAGCTTCTGTGTCATTATTTCCATTTGATACATCTCTTCCACAATTTGATCTGTTATTTTCATTATGTATTCTCACATCATCTATGGAACAACTAAATTGTTGTTTCTTCATTTCATCCTTCTCTTTCCAAAATTGTAAAATCCCTAAGCTTGTATACATAAATTTTAAATATAAATCTCCCGCTTCCTGTATTGATTTTGGCACTGTAGGTGTAGATTTCGAGAATGGAAAAATAAACGGCTGCCGTTGATTTGTTTGAAATTGTTGTTTACGCGATTTTGGTGACGAATTATTGTTTATACTTGAAAAACTACTCTGCGTAAACATATCATTGCTATTATTGCTATTAGAATTTGAGGAAAACTGATTGGCAATGGTGAAAGGCATAGAAAAAACTGGACTATGAGGCGGAATATATGTTGGATATTTTTGAGTAGCCTCAGTTTGAAAAGTATTATAATCAATTGGGGTTGTCTTAGTCGAGAATTCTATTTATTTATTTATTTATTAAAAAAAAAAGGATAATTAGTTAAGTAAATGACTAAAAATATTTATTTATATTTAAAATATATATTAGAAAATTTTATTACCTTTATTATGAATTGGTGGCAATCCATTTATTAATCTAACTACATCCTTCAATTTTCGGATATCACATGACCCACCGAAACTTGCCAAAATAACTTTCCATAACAAAAGAAGCAGCTAATATATGTATATGTTTTCCAATAGTTTATTATCAGTAGATAGTTTTAATTAAAAAATATTCCTAACGTGTAAATTATTAAGATGGATGGTTACCTTTTTTACGGGATATCCTTTGGCATTCTTTTCTTTTTCTCGTAATGACGCGATGATTTCAAAAAGAAATACAGACATTGGCGGATCAAGTTCGACTTAATTATATATAATAACATATTAGATGTTAATTGAATTAGTATTGTCTCTCATTAGATAACTGCTTACCCAATATACTTTAAGAACAAACCAAGCTCTGAGCCAAATGATTCATCTCCACGATGAACTTCGACTAACATATATAACAATGTCAAATAGTATCCTATCTCGATATTTGTATCATCGATATAAGCTTGTCGATCTGAAATAAAATCTGGATGGCTGTAATGTATAATTTAAAGAAATGTAATTACATAATAATTTGAAAAAGCAAGATCTAAAAAACGAAAAAAATAAAATAAAATAAAAACCTATAATGATCATGAGCACGACAGGCTAACTTTAAGGCTTGAAAATATGACAATAGTGCTCCACACTTCCGTAGCAATTTATTATTGTCAATTATCAATTCTAGATGATGTTCCGGCGAAGTCGATTCCCCAAACGTTCCTGATTATTCAATAATAAATTAAAATTTAATTTAATTTGTCAAATTATAAGACTATTGTAACAAATAAGTTAATTTGTTAACCTTGGGCAATATACAATAATTTTTTGGCAGTACAGAATCTCTTTTCAGGATCCTTTAATTCCAAAGTTTCTAACAGGTATTCAATATAAGTACGGCGTTCAGATATTGTACAAGTATTCCAAGCTAATAAACACATTGAACAAATATTTATATAAGAATGAATAAACATTTAAATTAAGTCAAATTAAATTCGAAACATTTACATTCATCGAATCCTTCTTCAAATGACTTTTTGTTTTCAAAACATTGTGAAATTTCAACATAACTATAGAATTCATCAATCTCTTTGGAAAGACTGTCAGTGTCAGTATAGGTAAAGGCTATTTCTTTTGGCTAAATAATATATAAATTGATAATTTATTTAATTCCATTTATAAAATTAAGAAAAAAAAGAAAGAAAGTCACAGTTTCTTATTACTTTTTGTTTATTCGGAAATTGTTTTACAATCTTTTTCAATTGTCCCAACGTCAACGAGTCATTAGGGACTTCGTCGTTTACTTGTTCTTTTGGGAGGTCGACAGTTACGTTCATTGTCTTGCGTTCTACTGAAGACCCTAGATTATTCTATGTATATTATATATGTAATTATGTGATGGATTGTGCAACAGGGAATACGTAATATTATTATGCAATACAAAGACTATTTATTTTCGATTTGCTTTTTGAATATATAAATACGTGAATATGTCGTTTTATGGTTTACCGAAGCAAAACTAAGTTACGTTCAACATTGCCATTTTTAAAGTTTTTGCCCCATCTTTTGATTTTATTTCCTCAATTTACTTTTTTTTTCTGTTAGAAAAAACGATTTTTTTTTTTAGAATAATCAATTAATAAAATTAAATATATTATGGAATTACCAGACTTGGGTCGTCATTGTGCCGATTCTTCTTGCAAACAATTAGATTACCTTCCTTTCAAATGTCAATATTGTAAACGAGAATATTGCAACGAACATTCGAATCCAAAAGTTCATAATTGTCCGAATGCACCCAGCGACGATGGAGAGCGAGTACCTGTTTGTCCTGTGTGCAATGTTCCTGTTCCTGTTAGCCGTGGAGAGGATCCAAATATTAGAGTATGTTTCAACGTAAACATAAAAATATAAAATATCTTTTATTTATTTTCTATTTGATACCTTTTCTTTTATAGATGAACTTACATATATCTAACGACTGTCGACCTCCGTCAAAAACAACTTCTTCTAAACCGTTTAATGCATGTTTTTTTGGAAAATGTAAAACAAGAAGTCCTCTTCCTCTGGTTTGCTCAGGCTGTGGCAAAAATTATTGCATCAAGCATCGTTTGGAACTTGACCATAATTGCGATAAGGTGAAAAAGGACAATAAGGTGTCCAATTTTTCAAAATTAGAAGCTCTAGCATCAAGGCCTTCGACAGCAAATGCGTCAAAGTTGGTGTCAACATCGAAACCAAAACCTGTAGCTTCAGCAAAACCTATAACAACTTCGAAAAATTCCATTAAAAACTGGATGGGAAAACTTTTTAAATAATTTATTACACCAATTTATTTTCTTCAATTCATTCTTATAGCATTATGTTTATATATACATTAATATCCCATTATCAGACTAGAGCATAGAAACGAAACATTCTTAAAGTTCATCATTACATCAAGCATACAAATACTGGTAATATTTATTTGCATTAAATTTTTTAAATATTATTATTATTATTATTATTATTATATAGGAACATATCATATTCGTGTTATCATAGATCAATAACTTAATTGCAATATATGTATTTGTGATAAAGTTTCATTTCAACCTGCGGTCTTTTTATTTAGATAAAATAAATATTTCAAATAAAAAAAGTAATTATATAGAATATTCATTTTCTGGTGCGTTTTATTTATTAATAATATTATTTTTCATTCTTCATTTACTATTTTTTCAAATCTTTTTTATATAATAATATTCTGATTAATGCTACTATTTTTTTGAGATAGGCAATATAATATTTAAGAACTGTTATTAAAAAATTTATTGATTCTAACAATTCAAATTTCAAATTATGGTTTTATATACTGTAAATTTTAATGTTAATATTTAATAAGCTAAATTATAAAAGTATTAATAAGTATTTATTTTATCAATAATATTTTTTAATATATTTGAAGTTATCAAAATTATTTAATTATAAATTACTATAACAGTTATTGTAAAATCAAACTAATAAAGAGAAAAGTATTTACCTATAATTACAATTTAAAAAAAAAATAACTAATAAATTAATTAAAAGAAAAATATATTATTATTACAGTTGATGAATCAATTAATGTTTATAAAAGATTAGCTCTAAATATTTTTATTTAGTTTTATAAATTAGATAAAATTAGTTATAATTGATTACCTTATCATAGTGGATAATTTATAATTATAATTTATTATTAAAACTTTTAATAATTATTTAATTCTCTTAAAAATATTATTTTATTCATTTTAAATAATATTAAAATCCTTTAAAAAATCTTTCTATTATTATATTTAAAATAAAATATAATTATTATTTAAATCACATATATAATTTAGTTAGAAAACTTAGATTAAAAATCAAAATTTTACATTATCTTTTACAAATTCTTTAATAGATAACTTAGAGTTCTAAATAAATTAAGTCAAGTCAAATTTAAAGATCAATTCTATTTAACTTTTTTTTTTAGAATTAAGTTAAGTCAAATTTATTTTATAAATCTTTCAACTTGATTCGAGTTATATAAATTTTAAATTTAACTCAATTTAACTTAATTTGATTTTATTTTAATTTAATTTTAACTTGAATTTATTCAAGTCAAGTCATATTTAAATCAAATTTTAAGTCAAATTAATTGACTTCTCAATACAAATATATTATATACAAATTGATTTCAGATTTTAAAATCGCAGCTTTTATCTAACACCTCTTCTAGAAATATGACAGTAGTTATAAATTGGGCTTTTTGGCACAAAAAGCCCAAATGTCTTCAGAAGGTCATCCTGGGTATTACAAATTTCATATATTAAATTTTACATATCAAATTTTTTGGTTTTTGGCACAAAAGTCTCTGAATGGCTTCAGAAGGTTATCCTAGATATCACAAAAAATTTTATATCAAATTTCGCTAGTAGAAAAATAACTTTTTGGCACAAAAGCTCAAAATGTATCCAGAAGGTTATCCTGGGTATCAAAAATTTAACACATAGCGTAAACACATTGTTATAATATATGTGACCTTAAGAAAATCATTTTGCTTTTTTGATTGGTATTCGCTCTGTAAACATTTGCTTCCTATATGTAAAAATAAATTTCCACTTTGGCATAATCAAGTCTAAAACCTTTTTGATTCTCATCCTAGATAACATAAGTTTTTCACATATATTTTAATCAAATTTCCTTCCACTAGCATACTGCTTAGATAGCAAGAGAGAACAAGCATGAGGAGGAGCAGAGTGACGACGAATGTACGTTCAATATAGGAGAATAAGTATGAGTAGGCAAAGCCCTTTAGGGCGACGCCTATGAATACGCATTCGACGGGAGGGGATAA